GGTGGAGCAACGATTTCAGTGAATATTGGGGCTCTTACTGATGACGTGTTTTGAAAATTCACAGTTATGTAGCGTTCATCTAAGGAATTGGCTCCCATATAGCCGTACTTTTGACAACTGTGGGGACATTTTTGAAGAAGGTCCGAGTTTTTTTGGCACCAACCAGCTTTGGCCCACATAGGACAAATGGACTCTGAATCCGTCACTCTGTACTCGCTTTCTGCAAAAACGCAAAAAATATCTTTAAGAAAGGAACGAGAGTCGTGATAGGTAGTATCAGTTCTAAAATTTTATATCAGATCAACTTACGCAGTTAACACGTCGCATATCCCTGGAGTTTTAATGCTTAGGGGCAATTGTGGCACTCTCACCTCTCCTCTAGCCTGCGTTGCAGACACTACATACCGCGGGTTACTAGCGTCTGCGAAGTAGCGCACAAATCCTTGTTCTAGACCCCCGACGAGGAAAACTAACACCGGAAGTCGCTTTCGAAATCTTTCTCAATTCTAACCCGATTATTGCCAATACACCCGCGGAGCCCGCAAACGATTACGAAACGAAGCGACAGATAACAACGGAAACCATGCAGACCTACACTGTTTGCAGTTATTTACAGGCAAATGTCCGTCTGCGACGCAGGCTACTCTCCTCAGACAGGGATGTTACATTTATTTCCCAGCCTAGATAAAAATAGAGTTTCCCACCACACTTTTGACCCCCAAATCGCGTGAGACATTCATACTCCTAAATTTAGCAATACCGCAAAGCAAATGCGCACACGTATTTTCATTTCAAATGACGGTGTGAGAGAATTATGCTCCGTCTTAAGCTTAGACAGCGAGACTTAGACAGGGAAATTAAGACCTCTTAGAAGCACATATCGAGATTTTGTTGAGCTTCCTCCTTTTACAATACTACAAATGACGAGCCAAATGAGGAAAATGGGACAGATTTACCTGGACCGCACATCTCACAGCTTTTCTTGCAATTCTGTGCCATGAAATCTGGGCGGGTCGCACATTCCCTGTTTGAAACCCATTCAGAGCAGTTGTCACTGATATCTTCACATTTCTCAGTGTCTCCTAGAAAGCAATCAAATAATAAGCTGTTAGTGGCACTGTATCGTGTTAACGTCTATGGAGACCAAGAGCAAGAGTAACATTGAATTATTTCAAACGTGACTTATTACCAAACCTTTTTAATCATAGAATATAACACTTTAATACATAATGCTATACGCAATGAAATGTTTGCATCAGTCAGTTGCTAAATTTTGATTGAAACTTGTCCAACATTGCAAGGTAAAAGGAATATCTAGGTAAAGGTAAAGACTGTATACAAGCCAAGTGGCCCATCAGGCTAGGCTCTATTTCCGCCGCTCTCTCCGGTCCGCGTGCCTCCCGAGGAGGGGTGAGCGCGGGCTCATTTCCCGAAACAGCGGCTGGTAATCGAGCCTACATCAGGCCGGAACTTATCCCGGTTTCCACAGCATGAAGCGACTAGGAGTATTTCTACTCCCCCCTGGATGGGATGCTAGTCCATCGCAGGGTTACCC